ACACAAACCAATGTTTCCACTATTTCTGCGTGCTTTAGCACTTAACTTGCCAATCTCTTAACAGTGTACCTAATGAGGTTTTACTTGATCTGGTTAAGTAGTCCAAAACCTCTTATAGACATGAAGCAAATTATCACAATGTCTTAAAGTCACATAGAGGTTTAAATGAACCTCTTATTTAAAAAGAACTTAGAACACACAGCGTTGTTCGTATGTTGACAAAATCAACTACAGCTTGTGGTGATGAAATTAAACAGGAACAGTCAAATTCAAACTAAAAATATGGATTAATAACTAGCCGAAGACTACACTATTTAATTTTAATCTAAGCTGTGTTCGTAACTCTACCATCATAACAAATTCAAATGTTAGCAGCAATAACGCTAAGATGAATAATTAAAAATTATCAGAGTTGGCAAGAACTAAGTCAACATCCAAGTAGAAGGCAAAAACACTCCGTCTTGCTATCCAAAAACCTGAATTTAAAAACTATCTGATTTGCATTATGGTGAGGAAAGGTAAAGTTATAGTAAAGGCTAAAATTATAAATAACTGATTAATTTGCATAACAATAACTGTACAGACCTTTGAAGAATAATTTTTTGCCTCTTTATGTATTCAGTTTTTTTCTTTAATATGTTTCCTTTTTAGAATATTCAGAATTAATTAAAGATTTCTGCTATTCTAAATAAACAAATGCATTAGAATGTAAAGAAAAAGCTGAATATTCAGAATAAATATGAAATGATATAAATTAAGGGCTGGTTTCAGAGCCGATGAGGCAAAATTTTTGGAATTTAGTGACACACCGAGCAGAAATGACAAAACGTTTAGAATTTAGGGCAGGCACTGGGAGCAGAATTAAGGAGTGCACAAGACAGCATAATTTACGAAGGCACTAGGAGGAAGAATTTAGGATCCACAGAGATTGCATCAGATGGGAAATGCCTAGCACCAGCCCTGTGTATGATCCATTGAGACATATAAGGTGAATCTTTTAAATTGTCAGTTTTCAATTTCCTTATTAATAGAAAAATTATTTTTTAGAAATGCCTGCCCATGTGAAAAGATTAGAAACATTTTTGATATTTTTCATACTTGTATCTAGTAAAAAGTTGAGAAAATAAAGGGAAGATAAACATAAAGGGAAGAAAAAGACTTCTACTATCAGAAGTACAACATTTAAACATTATGTTTTTAATGTTCTTCCAAAAATTCTCCAAAATGTAAGAAATTCATCACAAACTTTTCGTAAAATACATCCATTATGTGTTAATACAATGAATAAATTTTTCTGGAATGTTCTAGAATTGTGGATCTATAAATCGTGCCTTCAAATCCTTCTAAACTTTCCAAGTTGCAATGTTTAAAATCCTAAAGAAAAATTAGCCCTACCAATTCTGGAACAGAAAAAAAGGCAAGAAATATTTTGGGAAAAAAAAAAAAAAAAAAAAATCAGTGGAAAAAGTGTAAAATTAATTTTATAGAGAAAATTGATGCATATTCTGACAATTCTGAATATTCTGAGACAATTACATGGGAAACATTATTACCATGAAAAATTAAAAGGAAGAAATTTTTAATTAATTATACAGCTATTTTGTTTTTGCTATGAATTGTCTTATAAACTGTGCTTTATAGCATTTATTACCTTGTTTATTTTTCAAATTCAAAATGCTGTATAATAAGTCGCCAAAATGGAAAGTAATGTCAATTTATAATATGACAGCAAAATAAATAAATAAATAAATAAAATAGTTTTATTTTAATGTTATTCCTTAAATATAATTTCAATATATTACAATTATTTTAATTAAATTTATAATGTTTATAAAAGTGTTTTTGGTTATAATGTTTTAAAAAAAATCTTTGAAAAATCCCCAGATCTCCGAATTAAAAATTTTCTATAGAAACTGATCATAAAATCGCCGAAATGAAGTCGGCAAATTTAGAGCCATTTAATAAAAGAATTCACATCCCCAAAAATAGAAAGTTGTTTAAGAGCTCTTCATTTGAAAAAAAAAAAAAAATTAAATAATTTTGAAATGCTTTTGAATCCTTGCTCAGAAACTCCAGTAACCCACCCTTTATATTATATTAAAAATAGGAACAAATTATAACCCATTCAAAAGATAATCATATTTGTCAATGAATCATCAAAAATATTCCCTCAAAATGATAATTCACATTCAAAATAGCAGTCGTGAAAATATGATAGAAATTTCAGATGATTGAGGACCTTCGGCATATTTTGGCCGAAATTAAGGACTTTTAAGGACCAAAAAACTTAAGGACTGTATGAACCCTGAATTACATAACATGCCAGAATGTTCTCGAAAGTACTGATCTGAGGGAATGATCCTGAAATTACAGAAAGTTAATTAGAGGTTACCTTTCGTGTAGAGCAAAGCAATCGTATTTTTTAGATTTTACATATACATATATATATATATTGTTTCATAAGAATAAATTGAGTTTAATTAAAAAAATTAAATTTAAATACATATTTAATTATATATTCTTTGCGCCATTGCTGCAGGGAATGAAAATATCATTTAAATTCAGAAGCATAAGCAAATCAAGTGCAAAATCTATCCATGAAAATAAATCTACTAATTTAATAAATTAAAATTAAATTAAACAATTTTTTTAAAAAATGCATATGTGAATGATCGTAGAGTAGGCAGGAGACAGACTTATCAAGGGGAAGTTGCCTCCAAACCTAACTCTCCAATCATTCAATTCGTGTTTCGTCATTCATGCAGGCAAGGGTAAAAGTCAAAACCAAAAGTAATTCCAATAAAGTGGTACCCTCAGAAATTAACATTTAAGAATTAAAGTTCAAAAAGGAAAATACTAATTAAGTCTTTTGAGAAACAAGCAAGTAAAGTCAAGAATTAAACTTTTTCTTAAAAAATTAAATATTTTATAAAATAATAAAAAAAATCTAGAAACCAATGTATTTTAGAAATTCTTGTCTACAGAAACTTCCCCTACACGAATATGCATATCAATAAAAAGAAACTATAAAAGAACTATACATAATCAATATAAGCCAATAAGAAATAAAAAACAAAAACTTCTCTTTCACAACACTTTTGCAGACCCCAACACTCATATAGTAGGTAAGTTAGAATTAAAACTTACTATTTACTTGGTTTAAGTATTTTTTTTAAATTTTTTTATGTAGTATCTTAGTATTTTCTAAATATGAAATTATATTTTTAAATATATATTTATTTTAAAAATTGTGAATTAGTTCTTTTTTGTTTTTTATTTCTTACTGGTTTATATGGATTATGTATAGTTCTTTTATAGTTTCTTTTTATTGATATGCATATTTGTGTAGGGGAAGTTTCTGTAGACAAGGATTTCTAAAATACATTGGTTTCTAGATTTTTTATTATTTTATAAAAAATTAATTTTTTAAAAAATTTAATTTTTTAAGAAAAAGTTTTTAATTCTTGACTTTACTTGCTTGCTTCTCAAAAGACTTAATTAGTATTTTCCTTTTTGAACTTTAATTCTTAAATGTTAATTTCTAAAGGTACCACTTTATTGGAATTACTTTTGGTTTTGACTTTTACCCTTGCCTGCATGAATGACGAAACACGAATTGAATGATTGGAGAGTTAGGTTTGGAGGCAACTTCCCCTTGATAAGTCTGTCTCCTGCCTACTCTACGATCATTCACATATGCATTTTTTAAAAAAATTGTTTAATTTAATTTTAATTTATTAAATTAGTAGATTTATTTTCATGGATAGATTTTGCACTTGATTTGCTTATGCTTTGAATTTAAATGATATTGTAGATTAATTCGAGAATTAAATCTTTTACATGTTTGCATATTTTACAATTATTTTGGCTTTTTTTCCTTTTTTTAGTATTTAAATTTGCTTTTTTACTTTTTTACTTTTATACGTATTTGTTAAGAATTTAAATTGATATTCCTATTGAGAAATTGTAAAATAATCATTGAAAAATGTAGTGATGGTACTAAAGGTTTTCAATTTTTGTTTAGATGGACGCATTAGTCAAAAGGTTTAGGACCACTGCTCTAAACTATACCAACATATAGGATTATCCCTGGGAACATTTACAATATTCAGAAAAGACTATTAAAGTTTTCACAGCTGGAAAACAAGAAAGATGCACAGTGTCCACATTGAAATCATATTCACTTAAGATAAAAGTTTTGAAATTTTTTTCAGGCCAAATTTGAGATACTTGAAATTACTCTTCTATTTATAAATAAATTATTTCTAACTCAACTGAATATCCTTCAACAGTTTAAAAACAGCTTCTGCAACTGAACAAGAACTACAAGAGTTAGTATCCTTCAATAGTTTAATAACAGCTTCTCCAACTGAACAAGTACTACATAGTTTCATTTAATGCCTCTTAAATTCCAGAATGATACTTTTATACGTGACAAACAATTATGGCGGCTAGAAAGAAAGATTTAGTTCTGGAAAGAAAATGCTTTTTTGCGTTAAAAATAATTCAATTTTTGAGCCCTTTACCTATACATGAAGAAATGAAAATACAAAGCAGTTTGGGACCATAGCTGGACCTAGGAATTCTACCATCCAGAACGACAATATATCTCACCACTCTTTACCAACTAACTATAGATTACTACCAGTCTATATAAATTTTGCCATTTTGTGCAAATGGACAATTCACCATGACCGAAGTATCAAATTTATGAATATATTTTGATTATTGACTATTGCAGGCTACCGCGCAATTTAAAGAAAGTTCGGTGAATACCTATGACATCCAATCACCAATCAAGTTTTAAGCAATATGTATATAATACTCAAGATTGCAGTATGTCAAGTGCCATTAAAATTGAGGAATATCATATTCAAGCTCTGTTCTAGGAAAGTTCTAAGAAATAATAATTACTAAAATATAATTTTGAACACACATAAGAAAGCCATAAAATTCACAATTATAAATTAAGACATTTAATTTTTTCTAAAATCAATTACCTCCAATACAGCAAAATCATCATCAAATGGAGACTGCCTGTCTTGGATAGTATCAACTTTGACTCCAGATGGGTCATACTAATAAGAAGATATATGAAATTTATTACTTTGAACATATAATTTAAAAATACAATTATACACAGAACATATTTCTATCCTTACAGTCTTTCAAATTTGTGGGCAAACTGGCACATCTATTGTGATTTCACACCCATATCACATATTTTAAACTCATATCACAAGTAGATTATAATAATTTAAAACAAAGTCCTCTGGAACCAGAAAAATGCAACCTCTGATTTCAGAAAAGATTAATTTATATACTTTCTAATTATCTGCAGCTTCACCAAAAAGAATTTATTAAGCAAAGCAGTATCTCACGAAAATATTATGTGGCCACCAAAACATATTTATGTGGCAGCCCAGGTATGCACACAGCATATCTGGTATGCACAGATAGTGCACATGGATGCTGAGTTTGTACAATTCTTTGACTTTTTTTGAAATGAAAATAGACTGCTGTGCATATAGGAAGAAAAACAGCACAAAAAAGAATGATTTCTTAAAAAAAGTATAACAATTTATTTTCACTACTTTTCTTTTAAAATTTTATTGATTAATTGCTCTGGTATGGAGTTCTAAGAGCACCGCCATTTTAAAAATGATTGCTCCTTTCGCACATTAGCTTAGCGAAAACTTAGTACCAATGATTTCACGAAAGCTCTCTAAAATTGGCAATTGAATTCAGCGGGAATGTAGATACTCAGAAAGTATCTTAATTTTTTTCATATTATAATTTTATGAAAAAAAGATATACATTGCAGAATGCTTGCAATGCAATTGCAGCATGCAAAATGCTTAAAAGAGCCAAACTGCTCTTGGAGTTTAAATGATTTTTTTTTATCTCATGTAAACCAGTTACCAGTTGATGATTATCAGTTCTGACTTCAGTCAACAAATATATATTTTCTGATTACAGGATACTCTCTTCAACTGACGATGTCACTGTTGAATTTACACAATCATTGCTGAATGCAGTGCTAGAATAAAGTTAATTTTACAAGATAAAAAATATTTAAAAAGTCAAGTTTTACCTGATTATGAACAGTATATTTCACAAATATACTTCTAAAACTTACATTAAAAACTTTTTTTAGCACAGTCATTTAATTTTCAAGGAATTTAGCAGTTTATGAAAGCTGTGGGAAAAAACTGATATTTAAGAAAATACGGTACTTACATAGTATTATCCCATCAGCTGGCTAGGTGACATCATTTAGCACAAATGACTGTGTTCTTTAGAATTTTCTAATAATGGCTGGTGACCATTGCTGAAATTTCTACTAAAGCTTGATAGGATAATACTTAAGTACCAAAAATAACATTAATTTTTTTCAATTAAGCTTGTTATAGATATAACCTACAGCAAAAGTTTACATCATTTCATTTACATGAAATAGGGCTCCCCCCAACTAAACAAAATCTGAAGAGTTTTTGCTTGTACAAAATATGGCAAAATGTACAAACAGCATTAGTGAAATTTTCAATTTTTATGTATCAGCTGCAGAAAAGTATGCAATTCCGCATGGTCATATCAGTTTAAAGCATGTTTGCTGCATCTTATGAATGGTTACAAAAGAAGTTTATGATAGAAAAATGCATGAATCTAAGTAATCAAATATACCACTGTACTGCAAACCTTTCATATATATTACAAAAGATAAATGTAGATATTTTGATGCTAAAGCTGACAAATCAAAAATAAATATTAGATTTGTGGCCTGTCTGCCTAATAGATTCAAGTCATAATAAAATGCTAATGGATGATCTTTTACTTATAATCATAATTTCTAGTATCTTGTACCACCCCAACTTTTTCAATGATTAAAGCATCTCCAAGCTTCACTGTACACTTATTACCTTCTCAACTCTCTTGAAACTCAATTCTCTATTTAATTTATATTTTATGCAGGCTGTATATATAACATACCAGCTCTATATTTACTACATGCTTGCATTATTTCATGTTTTCGTGTTATTTGTTCATCTCTTTGTACAGAGGGATGGAAATTAAACTTTAACAATAAGTAACCTGCACTTGATTTACATATGCTCTCAAAATTTAAATGATGTTGTAGATTAGTTCGCAACAATAATTAATCATTTATTTGTTTGCATTAAATTTCATTTAAATTTATTAACTTTAAATTTGCTTTTGACGAATAGAGAATGTTTGTTAAATTCAATAAGTAACATATATATTTTAGTTGCTCCAGCATAGATAATGTAAACACAACATAACATTACATCTTTGGAGCACAGTTATAATAAAATAATCACCTGTTCCCACATTGCTGTTCCCAATTACCATATAAAACAACATTTTCACAAAACGTCCATTTGGTAAAAGCAAAACTCTTTATTCTTAACTTTCTAGAAAACTACAGATTTCTTTTCATATGTGAATAAAATGTAAAAGTAGCATCATATCTGGAATAGAAGATAGTACATTTTTTTAAATGTTTCACATAGTGATACATGACCATTTTTTTATGATTATGATGACTTCATTGCAGACAATTTATTAAGCAGACTCCATACCATATATAAAATAATCTAAAGGATTAAAAACTATAATAGGAGATATCTTCATAAAAGATGCTTTACATTCACCAATATTAGTTACATTTAGCAATAAAAAAAGTCAAAAGCTTAATTGATTTAAAACTTGTATGCAGAATGTATTGAAATTAAAAATGCACACCATCAATAGAAAATATGAACAGCTCCTTATTACTATATTTTTTACATATAATTTCAATGTTATAATTTGAAAATCAAAAGTGAAAAGTTATGCTACAAATGCTACTTTTAAAAAAGATGCACCAGAACTTATTCAAAAACATATGTAAACAGATGAATTAATGATGCAGTCAATTATTCTATTCAATATTCTTTTTATTCCTATGCTGCAGCTTGTCTTCTGTTTCTGAATTAAGGGTAAAAACAAACTTCCTTCTTATATTATGCAATTTAAGCCTAGGACTCTTATTAACCCTTTGAGGTTCGGTGCATAAAAAAAATTTTTGGGAGGATAAAATAACTTTACACTTAGATAATTAGCACCTAAAACAGGTAAACCTTTAAGGTAATTCATGACGTGGTGTGATACCGCTTGTCCCACTGTGCATCTAGAGCAGTAAAATGGCATCATTGCCTGAGCGTAAATTCTCCTAACATGCTTATTTAAAGTGCTAGTTTTACCATCCAAATGAAAATGCAAGATTTAAAAAACACTTTTGAATAATTATCTAGAAAATATTGATCATATTCGCAAAATAAAAAATATTTTTCAAAAAAATTACAAAATTTTTAGAAAATCGCTCTCTGTACGACTTTTTAGATATTTTTTAATGATTTCATATAATAGATTTGAAACAGAGATGATTTTCGCTCTAGTACTTTATTTGCTATACGTTTGAAAAGGGAGATATTTAGAAGGCCATTATGTTTATTTACATTTCACCTCTCTTTCCTCTGCTTAGGATATTTTTCTATGGTGAATCACACTCGCATATCCATTCAGTATTCAACGACATTTCATGTTAAAGAGTTATATTGTTATGAAATGTCAAGGACGCAGGATAGTAGCTTTCCTGCAAAGCAAGTTTAAGGTTGCCATAAAATGGCAAGGGAGGCAGGGTTGCCACATTTGGTGAGAAATCACCTATTTGGCGATATGCCATGGACGGATGGAGAACCTTCTGGAACGAATTCTTACCGGTTTAGACAAGAATGTTCTCGAACACAAGCCAAATGCTATATAAACCCTGCTGGTCCGCAGTCAGTCAGTGTGTGCCTCGTCTAGCAAGTGATAGTCAGTCATTGAGCGAGTGTCTCGAAATCTAGTGCCGAGTGCATCGAAGAGTCTCTTAGTGTATCGCGGTTAGTGCATCGTCGGGAGAGCTCTGGGAATGACTGAACCAAAGAGCCAGAAGCCGTGCTCTGTGTGTCGTTGAGGGCATCGCGAGTTGTAACGTGGATAGTCTCGGAGTACCTGGAGTTCCAAAAATGACCAATACAGAGTCGGGAGCTATACTCTGGTGCTTTGCAGTGAAGCTGTCTTGACCGTTACTGCCTGACAGTGAAGGCTGTGTCACTGAACGTGTCAGCGTGTTTATAACAGTTCAAGGACTGTAAACGAGATTTTGGAGCTGTCCTGAAATTATCTAATAAAGTGTGTTTTGATACTTCATCAAGTAGTGTCCTCATTATTCACTCCAAATACACACGAATCCCGTACGAATGTGAAGGAAGAAAATAGCGTAACAACTGGTGTCAGAAAAAAAAAAAAAAAAGGTAACAATATTTTCATTTCTTTAGGAAAAAATACTAAATATTTTTCAAGTTTTAACATTATAGCAATTTATTGAAAAATATAAATTTGTATTATCAGCATATAAAATGAACATGGTACTTGAATTTAAAAATATTTGAACAATGCTGCCATCTAGTAGCAGCAACTCCTACATGCGTGGTGGGATGTCTTTGTCCCACCTTTTAATTTCAACCATTCTAAATTAATATATATGAATTCAAATAACAATTTTTATTAGAAAAGGAAACTTTCACATAAAAATATTCATTTTAACACCAAAAGTTGTTGTTCAGACAATTTAAATTGCATTAGAAATTAAGAAAAAACTGCTTCATAACTAGATCTGCAAAGAATTTCCATTTTACATTATTTCCATAAATGAATACTAATGATGCCTGCCATCTGTTATACATTTAGAGAATTAAAAGGCATAATTGTATGTATTTTAAATGGAATTTTGCACCTTTTATCTGGGAGATAAGAACTGATAAAAATGGTGGGATGCTAAAGGTTAATAGTCAAAATCTATAAATAAGAAACAAAATAAAAACTTATACATCATGTCTTCAATGCCTTAGTAAGTTACGATAACCAGTAGCTGGAGATTGACTCCAGAATGAAAGACAACACTGAATTAACTTTTGCAAGTACTGAGCACGTTTTTAGGGGAAGGGATGTCCATTCCTACATCGATAACAAG